AACATTTTAATTAAGATGACTCAAACATTACATGATATCCCGTGGATATCATGAATAATACGTGGTTGACCCTGGACTTCTCTTCACCAGAAAAGTCTTCAGGCTGACGTGGAACGAAAACAAAGTATCCCTTGACAAGAAGTATGTTGTACCAGATCAGGTCAGCTTCGCTCCACGTCAGTCTTGCTTCAAAACAAATAAGAAGAAGGTTTTTTCAGGCTCCAGAAGCTACCAAGAAAAACTAAGTGTAGATGTACAATCCAGCGGTAAGGGGCTAGGAAGAGGACGCCATTCTTCCACTATTTTCAGCAACTCTATTTGTGTTCTATTTCTTAACGCGGGTGCTCGTTGCACTCAAGCGAAACCTAAAGGATGAGGCGGATTGGAAATGGTCAGAGGTTGCCCCTTGTAAACTCAAGATAAGCATCCGTTCCACAGAGCCTCCAAAAACGAGTGCTAAACTTCGCCTGGTTTACAAATGGAAATCAGCGGCGCCTCGTCTTGGAAGTCAAGACTTTGTCGCTGATGCTTACTTAAATACCGACAGCAATTGGGGTAAGTATTCCTCGTAGCGATCAGCAAAATTTTAATTACCACAAATACTGTTACCGTCTTCAAATTGACGATATAATTTCAGTTGCTCATCTCTTCTCGTAATTTTATTTCCAGGAGTGGGTGATTCTTTGGATGGAGATGCAGGTCATGTATTATCGCCACTTGCTGATGGTAATTTCCTGAATGACTTTGCGAAACAGCGGTCGCAGACACAAGTTCCTTCGCAAGTCCACACAGGTAATGCAGTAGTGCAGGCATAGTTTTAACTTTCCTGGGATTTTAAAGATGCTGAATTGTGACTTGTCGAGTCCATAGGTAGCATTTTCCGTAAAATTTAAGATACGTTTCATACTTTTGATGAGGCCAAAGGTCTCCTCTGGAGTTCTTCGGATTATCTGTAATATTCTATTGAAAATAGTGAGGAAGAGAATTCATGAAAAGATAGACCCCTTTAGGAAGGTCTCACGACCTCTAATCTTTTCTCTATTTCTTTTCCTGTTTATTCTTTCAGAGCTTCATCAACACGTTCATCATCTGCAAAATATCCAAGACGTAAATGTTAGCTCTGAGTACTGCGCAGTCGGGGACCATTCTTCCTTTTCCATTCAGGAACCATCAACCAGCCCAAGGTTTGTGTCGTCTGTTATTTGCTTAGATTAACATTTAGTTTGCTCAAGTTATGAAACGAAAAAAGAGGATCTGTCGGTTTCAGGGTCAGCAACACTTTTAAGGTTTCTTGGTTCCGCAGTACTGAAGCACACTCAATCTTTGGACGCTGAGAATCGTGAAATCGTCTTAATCTAAGCGAGATGTCTTTGCTAAGGACAAGGAAACTGGCCAAAAAGGGCATGTACAGTTGTTGCTCAACTCTTGCCATGTCAGGAGAAAGCCAATAACACACAGACTGAGTTCCTTTGTAAATGAAAGTGTTTCTAATAGTTTCGTGAGACCGAAACCGAGGAAACGATGAGGTGTTAAAGATAAAATGTGTCTCTACTGTACCCCCATTGAAAACAAGAGGTAAGGTAAGTGACCAAGTCAAAGGACAATGGTGATTTACTCCGCAATTGGGTTTGGCAGTTTACCGAGTTTCTGTCGTTGAACATTCGCCACTCGATAATTCCCGCTATAAACTTTTACACCGTAACATCAGAATATAATGCATATTCTCCATACTGTTCCCTATACATTTCCTAGGGTGCTGACAAGGAGAATTCGTTCGACAATCAAGAGCTTCCCTACTTGGTGATCGTCTCCTTCATTCTCGTGACTATAATGTATGATTGGGGGGGAAGGTGGATACTGTCAGGCGAAATTAATGGTCACTCATAGATGTTAAAAGGTAAAGTCTTGTTCTCGTTAACTTTCAGAGCCCTTCCACCAGGTCCGAGTACAGCTACATAGAGAAGCATAACTGACGGCTCGCAGCACAGAGACACAAACTCTTCTGGAGAATAAAAAAATACCCGCTGTAGGAAAGAAATTTCAGTTTGGAATTCAGTTCACATGTTATTATGATGAATAACGCTTTAATTCACTCTCTGTATCACTGCGACTTAAAACTAACTGATTTTAAGGTGGAAAAATTTTGAATGCTCGGACATCATTATTCACTGCGAAAATTTTATTTAACTGTATTCGTAGATGATTGTTCTTGTTTTGTTTGTTTGTTTTTAAGTGGAAGAGAATTTTATTCCCGAGTCTCTTCTTCTTGCGGAATCATGTTGAAAACTACTCACGATTAACTTTTTTAAAGCATTTTAGAGGACGACTTTAAGGTTTTGAAA